TTTTTTTGTTATCTAATATATAGTGTTCCTACTCTTAAAGGTGGTGAAATTTCCAGAACAGAAGGTGTTGCAGATGGAAGTTCAAAGCCTTTGAGGTAAGTAATTAATTACCTTGTTAATTCATTCCGAACAGTCCAAAAAAGTTCAGTTTTCAGCTACATAAAGCACTTTCTACCGAATACATTTTCTTCCAAAAGTACATGTCAGAATAACACGAAATTTTTTAAGAACTTATAAAATCACATCTATTTCTTAGTGGGTCTTATGTAATATGTATACTATTTCAGGTCAGGAGCTTTGACAGTATTCGGGAAAGATATGAAAGCTCTCTTAGTCGATAAGATTTATTTGGTGAATGTTCTTGGTAAAATACTCTCCTCACCAGTTATCTGCGAGTGTATGTTTGCTGTTAGATTTCATCTTTCGAATTTTATTTATTTTATGTTTCTTCTTTTTTGTTTGTTTTTTGCAGGTTACATTGCATATAATTTCGTCATAGGTGCCTATTCCTATTGGGGACCTAAGGCGGGTTACAATATATATCACATGGTAAGCTCTTTATGCCGCCTGAAAATGGTATTTTCATTAATGGTAGAAATATTTAACACTTCACGCAATGAATTTCCTCAATCTTCATTTAATAATTTTTTGTTTTGTAAAAAAACAAAATATTAACATCAGCATTCCTCGTGTACAGAGCAATGCTGATTATATGTTTGGAGGTGTCACAGCAGCCTGTGGAATATTAGGCTCACTAGCCGGTGGTTTTATTCTCGACCGAATGACTTCAACAATATCTAATGCTTTTAAGGTGGACCCTTTATTCGGCATTTGTTGCATTATAATTTCATGATTATTCAAAACCAGTTACATAGTTTCACCCTTCTCATTTCGGGTTCTTGACTGAGATTGCTAAAAGAATTGACTGCTGTTTTCATTAAGTTGTTTAATTTTATACAATTAGTTTTCATGTGCTAATTGCTTTTGCTATTTTTCTGATCTGCAGCTTCTATCGTTGGCCACATTTTCTGGAGCTGTGTTTTGCTTTGCTGCATTTTGCTTTAAGAGCCTATATGCGTTTTTGGCTCTTTTTGCAATAGGAGAGCTGCTCGTATTTGCTACCCAGGTATTTGTTCTTTTTCCCCAGACATCGAATTTGTACACATTCAGGACTGTGTTAATGTAACTGCAGATGTTTTTTTTTTTTTTTTTTTTAAAGGATTTTCTTGAGCTCGAACTGTGCCGTAATTGCTTGTTAGAAAAATATTCAAAAATATTCTAAATTCGACTGGATATTGAATTACATCTTGACATTGCAGGCCCCGGTTAATTTTGTGTGCCTGCACTGTGTTAAGCCGAGTCTCAGACCATTATCTATGGCGATATCGACTGTATCAATTCACATATTCGGTGATGTGCCCTCATCTCCCCTTGTTGGGCTTCTCCAGGTTTGTTGCCTTAATTACTCATCAAATAATTAATAATTCAGAAGAAACCTCTACTATTTTGTTTCATGTGGAGCTAAAGCTTTGTCGTAAAGCTTAATAAAATCTCAAATATCCTGTTTAGATTACTAGCCAACTACATTCAATTGTTTTTGAGAAATTTTCTGTAAATAGGGCATGTGCACGGACCGAAAGGTCGCCAACAAAAGCTTGTTTGAGCTCAAATAAGGTTACAAGGGTCGTTTTTTCATTAATTGAGCTGAGCTCGAAAAAAAATTAGTCTCATTTGTTAATCAAACGAACACGAGCTTGTTCGCTAGCTTATCAAACATACGCTAACATCAATTGAATAGTTAATTTGTTTATGATTTATACTTTATATATATAATAATAATACCTTTTATAGAAAATTACATTAGAATTATTTGAATGTGAGATTATGTCCAACCTTAAAGTTCACATGTTTTGCAGGATCGAATAAACAATTGGAGGGCCACCGCTTTAATTTTAACTTCGATTCTATTTGTGGCAGCCACAATATGGTTTATTGGTAAATCTTCTGTTTTTCATTTACCATCAAAAGTTATTGTCCAACAGTAGGTAAATTATAACTGTACTTGCTGTACTGAAAAAATTAATTTATATGTACATCCAAAATATATCTTACAAAACAAACAAATACACATGCAGAATTACCAAAAACTCCCCCAAGAGGGTAAATCATAATTTTGTAAGAAAACTCAGTTTCTTCTGTAGTTAGACTGGCATCAAGGGTAGTTTCGTAATTTGAATCTCATGTCTTTTTGCAGGGGTTTTTCTTCATAGCATGGATAGGTATAACGAAGATAGCGAGCATCAAGTTACTTTGGTCGACAAATCCAATGCGACTCCATTGCTGGCCGAGAAGACTACAGAAACTGCGTAGTTTTTCTTGCAAATCATTGGAATCGGGCTTTCTTCTAACACGCGTTTTATGTAAATTCCTTGGCTCGATTTTTCGTCAATCTGTAAATAATGGTTGTTCTTTTTTATCAAGGGAAAAACATGTTCTTCCTTTAGAGTTTTGGCTGCCTAATGAAGGGTTGCTTTGAATTGAAGTTTATATTTTGTAGTAGAGTGAACTATGCTCTACTTACCTTTTTCTTGAAGTCTTTGATGGTTTATTTATTTAAGTTTTTTTTCTTGATTTTTTTTATTGCACTGTGGGTTTTTCGTATGAGTCTATGGGCTCTCTTTAAACAACTTACTTTTCTTTAGGTGGATAGAATTTTATTCTACAAAATGTGCAGGGAATTGTGATATTTATATGTTGAAGTGATTTATTCAATGTACAATATATGCTTTATAGGTATGTGCTTGAGACTCGTTAAATTATGATTAATATACATTGTAATTACATATATATAATATATGGTTGATATTATGAATAAAGATTAGGTTTTCATTTTTCTCTCTTGTTTTGCTTTCTTTCTTTCTTAGACGTACTAGTACAATACCCGTGTATTATACGGGTGCTTGTTAAAAAATTATTCTTAAATTTTAAAATTGATGAGAAAATTATATTAAATTTAGTTTACTTTTTTACAAAAAAAATATATTACTATATATTTTAGAATGATATGTGTTACTTATGACTTACATGTGTTATATTATATTAGTTTTTATAACTTATATTATATAACTACTTGAAATATAAATATATTAGTTGATAAATAATTTTATTTTTCTAATTAATATTAAAAAAAAAATTATTATTGTTATAAAGATAAATATAAATTATTTTTTTTATACATACAATATGGATGTTAAATCGAAGCTTATCAAAAGAAGATTAATTTGATATATTACATATGTAAAACTGATAAAAAATACAAAAGTTATTAACTTTTAAAATATATATACAATTCAATAGTTATAATAAGGAATGATATTAAAATACAATTAATACATGTAACATGACCATAAATAATCGACATATTTATGGTAATCCGAACCTAATTATTTTTTGTTTGGAATTAAATTAAAATTTACCCAAACTTAATAACAAACCATGTAATTTTGCCACATAGGATTCCGAAGCATCAGAAGCAGCCACGTAGGCTCAGCGCATTCTGTATTAATATATAGGGGGGATTTGTGTTCTCTTTCACAGTCGTATGAGATGATCTTAGACGTGCCCAAAGGCAGAGCCGGTTCACGACCCGGCTTGGCCTGCTAGGTTGGCGGGCCGGTTCTGAGCCCGACAATACCCAAGGGTTGGTTCAAATGAATAGGCCCTACCCCACGGTTCATTCAACCGCCAATTTAAAAAATAAAAAATAAACAAATAAATAAAAAACAATTGTGTCACAGCATGTTTACTTATTCATAATTACCGATAATTATTGTATTACTTTTTATCACATCATGATTAATCATTATGGCTCCCTTATGGAGCAAATACATGTTCAATGTGTATTTATTGCAGAACACGTGTCAATACATCATTTAAGAATAACTATGAATGACTCCATAAACTAAACCATCCGATGACTCCATAACAAAACCGGTAGTATATAAAACCACTGGGTATATTACTAGTTCTCTCTACATTGTTTCATCAATGAAACAATTATTTCTGTCAAATGAAATCATATTATCTAATCTCATCCTTACTATCTAATCTGAAAAAAATAAACAGAGTGCTTCCATCCAAAACCAGAAACTATAAACTACAGACCGCCCACAGTTTTTGTCTCTTTCTTTCAACCCTTAATTCCCCTTTCACCAAATCATATGGCATAAAAACCAGTTTCATTTTCATTAACACCTCACTTCTGAAAAAAATCATCTGATCAAAACTATCTTACTTGGTTTTTTTCTAACCTCTCAAAATGGCTCCAACAGCAGCCATGCTCATGTTAACCCGCCGTACAAGCCCGATGCCGCGTGCCACTCACTCTTCGTCGCCAAAGCCCAATTTCGTTTACTTGATGGGTTCTTCACTAGCAACGTTTGTCTATCATGGGCTTCCAGCGGCTGGGCCTGACGACGAAAAGCCCACGGATGATCTATCCTCTTCGCCCACGAGGAGTCTAGCAATGCCGGTGGTTAAATGATCAAATGAAGTTCTTACAACGACCACAGGGGCAAAACTGGATTTTTCTTTCCTTTTTTTTTTTTTCTTTTTTTCCTGTAATTAAGCTCAACTTGAAAGATGCTTCATACTTCTATCTTTCCAAGTTAACAATTTTTTTTTATTATTTTTATTTTATTTTATTTTTTTTTAAGACAGGCGACTTAAACATTAGGCAGACATATAACATTTGTAATAAAAAATGCATACTTATGTTGAAATGCAAAAATAGTGTTATTGTTCCTATTCCTAAGTTTGTTTGTAAGTAGTCAGAGACTTCAAATTTAGGAGTATGATTAATGGGTGAGTTTCATAAAATACAACCAATTCATAAAGATAATGTGAAAAAA